GGGAATATTTTCAATGTAATGGCATTAGGCAATATCTGGTGTCTGCTCTTACAGGGACTGAAGCTGTGGTTGATGACACGCAAGGGTAAGCGGTAAAATGAGCGCATCATTCTTTGTGTGTTTGTGGCTCGTGTAAAGCCAGATCCCTGCCTCAGGACAGGGCTTAAGAGAATAGCTATAAACCCAAACACAGAGCATTCATATCCCGAGAGGAAACAACTGTGCATAAGTAAACATCTTCTCTTAAAGGAAGTAGACAACACAAGGTCCTGGTTAACCATGTATAATGCAGCTAAAGCCAGTGGTTAGCTGTTACATGGCTACAATGTCGTAAGTAGACATTTTTTTTCAGAAAATTAAGTATTTTTGCAATGTCTGTTCATATTTAGCCCCTAAGGAGGTATCCCTGGATTCTACTTAGTGTGAGAGCCTGCAGAAGAGCTTTGCTGTTGCTGTGTAATGGAACTGATACATAAATGTTGTTATACTCACAGCCTGGCCATTTGCTTCATACAGTGGACACTTCTGTTTGATCTTGGCCAGCTCCATGTTCACCTGCTTGCTGATCACTGCCATGGGGTTCCCTCCTGAACAAGCACACAAGCACACAGTTGACATAGACACAACGTAAACATGGACAATGTCACCCTCTACAGGTAGGTGACAGTAACTGTTGCATTGCATTTGAGGAATATGCAACTGCTTCTTATTTTGCATGAATAATATGTCACTAGATAATGAAGATTTATAGGAAAAGTAAAAAATAAGAAAATTAATGACCAGCTTACTTTTAATGCAAGGTAAACATCCTTTATTATTTATTTGTATTTAACTTACTATCAGGGACTTTTTCTGACTGCCAATCTAGACCAAGGACTTCCTTAGAAATGTAGCTTGACAGTCATTGTTTAGATTTGAAGGAAGTTTTGGCATGTTACTGTTGTGATTGACTTCTGTATTAATTAAAAGAATATCAGAATCTTACCCAGCCCTGTCACCACCATGGCCCCCAGATCAGCGACATAATTGCCCTTCCTAAATGTTGCCACTCTGCCTCCAACACGGTCCTGCAAGGAAAAAGCGAGGATAGTAAAAGGTCACTCAACTTGTTAAAACCATTTTTATTTGTTATGCACCAATCTTACAATGCGATCAATTGCGAAAATACAGTAAATGCTTTACAATGATTGAAAGATGTATACCAAAGCTTGTTAAGAAGATGTTACAAAACCACCTAATACCTGAAATAAAACATTGATAGAAACCCTGTTGGTGACCTACCCTGGCCTCCAGTACTGTAACGTCCATCCCGAAGCTCTGCAGCTGCCTGGCTGCAGCGAGGCCAGACACACCTCCACCAATGACTATAACCTTCCCGGTCTTCTTAGCTGCAACAACAAGCAGGGAGTACATTAAGAGGGTATTCTTACACTACTGACCATTCCCAGGTCAATGTCTCTGAAGGATTTAGTTTACAAGAGTGAACTTACTGGGTAATGGCTTGACCCTCTTGTAAATGCCAAAGTTAACGAGACCATGCCGTTCTAAGTAGCTGTGTATCCTGTGGACCAGCACAGCATCACCTGAAAGGAAAGAAAATCTCATCAAATCTCAATTTATGTGTAACAAAAAATATTCTTACAAAACGAAAGAGAAATAAAAGTTACAATTCAATTACAATATAAATGACTCACTGTTGTACGGAGCCTCAAGCTGTTGTGCAGTGGCCTCAAAGGTCAGCTGGATTTTAGGGTTGTCCAGCCACAGTTGGAGCTGTTTGAAGTTAAGATGAATTAAGAAAAAGTAGTACATAGGTTTAAAACCATAATAACATAGTCCTTCTTTTTTTAGTCATGCCTTTATCCATGGTTTATCCCAGCGCTTACCGTTCGGTTGCGGATGAAGAGGAAGACCTTCTGAGTCTGCTGGGGTCCGCTGATTATGTCAGGGAAGCAGGCTGCCTCCTGGGATGTCATACGGTCATGAGGAAGACGGCTCTGGAAAGCAGCCCCTTCTACACCTTAACAAGAAAATACATATAACCATACTATTAACATCATTAAGGATTCATTTAGGACCAAAATATGGAGATATAATATGCGGTGAACTGCTACATTAAGTCCAAAACTAGGCAATTATCAGACTGTGAAAAACAAAGCCTGTTACATTTAGTTTCTTTCCTGTTTTATGCCACTGCTTTGATATGATGCATCAGATTGAAGACTCACCAGATGGCTCCTCTGGTTCACTGTCATTCTCCTCCTCTGGTGGTGGAGGTGGTGGAGGGATTACTTGCTTCCTCTCTTTCTCTGCCTTGGCATTCCTCTCTTCCTCTGAGTAATATTCGTCTTCCGACAGATTGGCCAGGCTTTCGTCCATCTCACGGTATTCCACTTGCTACGTTAGGCACAATAAAAGCAACATTAAAACCGGCTTTGCTATGGATTGGTTGGTGAGCTCCCACATCACTCCAAAAGCTTTCTGGTTATAAGTACAATTCACTATTAATATCACACCGATTAGATTATCAATCAATCAACAACTTTATTAATCCTGCAAGTGGCAATTGGTTATGAGAATCTTATGTCATGTACACAGGCAGGAACATACAGGAATAAAGCACACAGATACACCCGGGAGCCTGGATGTGGATCATTCCAATATACATGGTAAATACTTCATAGCATCACAATAAATAAATAATCAAGTAAAAAAAAACGATCAAGAATTAAAAAGTTTGAGTGCATAAATGATTTTCAAAAGCGAGATTATGAGAAATGACCTGTTGTGCATTTCCACTGGGGTACATATAGAAAGTAGGAACTTGTGACGTTAGGTAGATAGCAATATGGCACGTAATGTTTAAAGCAAACAAATGATCATACAATATCATGAATTTGTCACTGCCATAAAATACCCTTTTATTTATTTTTTTCATTGTCATTTTTCACCATCATCAGTTTTGGCAGTATGGAGGAAGGAGAACCCTTAGATATTTACTTTTGCTCGCTTGCGACGACTCGTTCTGCGAACTTCAGCTGCGTCTTGCTCTGCCCCCCCGGGGCCTGCTTGGTGAGGCACAGGGGCTCCTCCAGACTCCCCACTAGGGGAGGACCTTTCCTTTTTCTTTACATCCATAGGGCCTGCCGCAGAGACAGATGGACCAGTCTGGGCATCAGCAACGCCGACCCTTTCCGCTCCCGCTGCTCCCGCAGCTCCTGCCGAAGACGATGTGGAAGAGGAAGAGGAGCCAGCATCTGACTTCTTGCTAGACAGCATCATAGACGATGTTGGAGGCCTCTCCTGAAGAAAGAGGGAACCAAATTTTGAGGGAAAAAAACATAATGGAACAAACAACAGCACACATGTTTGTGAAGGGATAGGGTTTATTTGAATTTTCCAAAAATATATAAAATAAAAAGACGTCAAACTATTATTCATAAAAAGATGAAAATGATGAAGTGTAGGCTTTGAGTGCTGGCAAAAATAAATAAAAAAAGAACCTTTTAAGCATTCCAAAATGTGAGTGAAAGCCTACGAAATGGTAATTTCACTGACTTACTAGTGGTTTTCACATAAATTAACTCACTAAACATTGTTTACAGCCCATAAGTCTACTGGTGACTTGCTTTGCGGGGCAGTGAATACACCTGCAACAAAAGGCTAACCACCACCAAATACTCCTTGGCTTTGGGAGATGCTTTCCCCAAAAATGGCACGTTTGCATCACTAGATGTTTAAAGATACGTCAGCTACAGATACGTCGGTGTATGAATGTCATGATTTATGAAATGAGGGCTCCATGGTAATAATAACCTTTTCCTGTTTTACCCATTTCTCCGGGCACCTGGTAATATCCATTCAAACACTAAAAAGAAATGAAGACAGAACCAGAAATATGGTTACGAACAGGACCAACTTTACAACAAATGTTGGTCTTTCACATCACATTGAAATCAAGCGATACCTGTTTGAAAATGTGTTAGCAAATATCATCTGAACCAGACCATCAGATAAAAGGAGTAGCTCACTGCTTTAAAACGCTGAATGCGTAATGAACCCGGTGTTTTATTAGTAACTTGAAAAGGACAGTCATCCTGTGCCGAGAGCGTTTGTAGTTGCTGGATATCAGTCCTGGTCAAATTGACTTTGTTAGCTAGCAAGTCAACTGCAAAGCTAGCAACAGAATGCTAGCTAAGGCTATTAACGTTAGCTAGCGTTGGCTAACGGTAGTTTTGTTCTAGACAGGGACTAGTATACAAGACAGATCAATAACAGATTACATTTATTTTTATGGGATTCCACCAAGGGCTGTACTGCAAACATGGATTTGGTCAATTCTTACTGATTTTCTTTTCACATCTATATTGCGAGACCATGCCATGTTAGCTAACGCCGCTAACAATGAGACATTGCTAGCTGCACTACTGGCACAGTAGCAGGTGCGACCTAGTGAAAAACAAAGCGCCGGCTTCGCTTTTAATGAGATTTGCGTTTATTAACTGAACGAATCGGTAGGCAGACTTCCTTTCACCATGCACCATCGTTGCTTTTAACGTAAAGGTAAGCAATACATATTGAAATTATTAATATTACCTCTCAGTCCTCCGAAAATGTCAACACAAAGACGGCAGAGTAGTAGGTCTCCTTTCAATGAATTCTTCCGTGATTGGTCGACTGAAAACGTTACCCAATACCTCCCTACAAAATGATTGGTCAAAACAAACGTCCATCAATAAGTAGGCGGGTATTTAACACTTAAAACTGCTGCATTGGATCTACTTTAGTATAAACATGCCAAAAAAACATAATTCAATTTATTTTTGGTATGAAAGTAAAACAAACGTTTTTTTAAAGTTTTTTGTGGCAAATTGGGATTTGTTTGCCCCATTTGTCTTCCGTTAATGTAAAATAACAAAAAGAAGCTCTGCACACAAACTGACGTCATTCTGGAAGAAGAACAGGATGGGCAGGGGGGCGGGGGCGGGGCTAAACAGGTAAAGGTGAGCTTGTGTCGCGCCTATACGAGAAGGCATTCCGACTTTTTGTTGACTCCTTTGTTGCACCATTTTGAGCCGACTGAATGTAAGTAATACTTTAAATCCTCAAGTAAATCGGTATGTGTTTGTGTGTGAATTTTACTATCACTATGAGTTTTAAAGTGAGCGAAAAGTCTGTCTCTGTGTTGCTTGCGGCAGCTCACTGTGTTGTTGAAAGGAGATGGTTGGGAGTTAAAATTCAAGATTTTTCTGTGTGATATGAAGCGCCTTTCGGGGTGGGGTGTGCTATTTTAGTAAATACGCTATATAATTGCTGTGTGAAATCTGTAAGTCTCTGTCAGGACAGGTAAAATAGTGGCTCATTCATGTAGACTTTACAGGGAGTGTTTCTTATGTTTGCCATGGCCATTGTATTATACTAAGAGTATGATACCATGAAGGCCTTGTACAAACATTCACAAGTTGTTGAGCTGTTTTTGAAAATCTACCCAACAGAATCAAAAATGGTGAAGGAAGAAAAGGAAATAGCCAACCGGCCTGACAACACAGCCTTCACCCAGCAGAGGCTTCCTGCATGGCAGCCCATGCTCTCCGCTGGCATTGTCATCCCAGGGTTTGTCCTCATCGGCCTGGCATTCATTGGCATTGGTGTTGCTCTCTTTGTCACTTCAAGAAGCATCACGGTTTTGGAGGTATGACCTAAATAAGTTAGTTTGCATGCTTATATCATCAGCAAGAAGACAGGAAGTATAAGACAAAGTTACACATGCAGATGGTAGATGTGAACAAACCACAAGCTGAATCTAGGTTTTTCAGAATTGTTAAGTATTAAAATGACATGCATTCAATCTGTAAACTGCTCACCGACTTGTCATTTGTAAGTAATATTGTACTGAATTAAACCAGGTGTGGTGTAACATCGGATGGATAGGTGTTGTAGCCATCACTAATTAAAGCCCTTCTTGTTCTTTACTTCACAGATCGACTACACTGGTATTGAAAAAGATTCACCATGCTACAAGTGCTCAGACTCAGATGCCAAGAACTGTGTGTGCAACCTGGTCTTCTCCATTGACAGTCTCTTTGAGGTTGTATTGGAGTTTTGCAATATAACATTCACACATATACACACAATGATGAAATTGAACTGACCCATGGATGTCCTTTTGTGATTCCCCTTTCCTCCACAGGGACCCGTGTTCTTTTATTATGGTTTGTCAAACTACTTCCAGAATTACAGAAAGTATGCTGCGTCCAGAGATGATGAACAGCTGTCTGGGGACTTGGATGCCTTTACCGTGAGTTAAAAGAAATTTTAAAAAAAACAATAACAATGTGTTCTCAATTTCAATTTGGTTGAACATATGGGAACGGTTTATATTTTTGGCATTGAATATAGCCATGCTGTTGCCCGTCTGAATTACCAAGAAAGATTTTAGATAATATTTGAGGAATAAAAAACTGTTTTGTCTCTTGAAGGCTCCCAGTGACAGCTGTTCACCCTATAATTATAACAGCAACGATAAGCCAATTGTACCCTGTGGAGCAATCGCAAACAGCATGTTCAATGGTATGTGAGGACAATCCATTAAGTCTAAAGTTTATTGACTGTATTATGGATGTATTAAATATTGTTTTTGTTTTTTAAAGACACTTTCGTGCTGTATAGGGTCGTCAATGGTGCAAAGCAGCTGGTGCCCTTGGATGGAAAAGGGATTGCTTGGTGGACAGACTACAACGTCAAGTTCCGAAACCCCAGTGTGACACCTCTGAAGAATGCATTCAACAGTAATAACTTTCTTTATTGTAACGCACTGTGTATTCTGTTCAAATCGTAATATTATTTGAAAATATAATGTAAGAAAACATGATAGCTGATTCATACGTTTGTCTTCCAGACACTGTTAAACCCATATTTTGGCCCAAGCCCGCTTACCAGTTGGACACCTCAGACCCTGCTAACAACGGCTTCATCAATCAAGATTTCCTGGTGTGGATGAGGAGAGCCGCCCTGCCAGATTTCAGAAAGCTGTATCGACGAATCACCGACGGGGACTATGCAAAGGGTCTCCCAGCTGGAAACTACTCTCTTACAATCGCGTACAGTATCCTTTTTATGAATACTATAGATTGTGGTACTTGGAGATAAGAGCAATATTGTTAGTCCTGGGTTCAAGGATTAAATTAGGCATTTTTAACTTGAATATTTTAACCATCACACAAATCACTATTAAAAATGTCACCTTTCAGTGACAGAACAAGAATTTGCTAATGCAATTTCATTCAGCGAATATAACAAATGAATCCCCTGAGGAATCTGATATTATTAAGGGTATGTAAAAGAGGACACTTAATTCTTGTTTAAAGCCGTTTTAGCCTGGTTTAAACTTCTCGTGATTAGGTTTCATGCATTAACCAATATAATTTACTGTATGTGGTTAGAGGAGTTTTACAATGTTCCATCAACGTGAACATATTTACAAGGCTTCAAGTAAAGGTGTGAGCCATTGTTCACCCATGTTTTGTGTCATGTTACATCAACAGCAGCAGCAGCTTGGTCTAACTTGTTTGACCTGTTGGGTGTGGTTCACTTTTACCCTGAGCAGAGTTAAGACAATGGCTCAGGACTTCCTTGATTTAAAAAAAAGAAAACCACAACAAACAAAAAACAGTCAAATATTTTGACCTAAGTAAATGTGCTAGGCAAATAATTGTCTCATGATTGATTTCCGTCAACCTGAAGCCTATGAAGGCCTATTGAAATACCTCATACAGACCATAGCAATGTGTTTCCAAGTTAAACATCCTTTTAAAACATTTAAATACTTATGTATAGTTGTGTGTACAATTTTGCTTACCATTTTAATGTAAACCAGAGAAAGTTTATAGGTATTTTCTTTACTCGTTCAGGCAGCCATTGCTCTGATGGATTATACAGTGCAATAATGTTTAGCGTCTGCTATTTTGACTTGGATATATTGGTGAAATGGGAGTCCCTAAAAAAAAGAAAAACCCGGCAAGTCTAATGGGTTGATACTGAATGTGTTAAACGTGCAAAAACCTCTGTGTAAATCATAGTATCTCAAAGGGGTTTTATAAATTGAATTCTAACAGGAAAATGTTGTCTCAATGTCACTTTGTCGATTGTATGCATTTCCTTTTTTTCTGTATATCCTTAACATTTTGTCCCCAGACTATCCCGTTGTGAGCTTCGATGGGAGAAAGAAGGTGGTGTTCAGCAACGTGTCCTGGATGGGTGGAAAGAATGAGTTCCTCGGCATTGCCTACCTTGTTGTTGGTTCATTATGCGTCTTGATGTCCATGGTCATGCTCATTGTCTATGCTAAATTCAAGTTTCCTGAGGAAGACTGAGTGCCTGGTGGGTGCAATGGTTTGTCTTCTTAATCAAAATGTTTCCCTTTTTACTCAATGGGTCGATTAAAGTACAGTGCAATGCTCACACAAAAGTTGGAGCGTAACCCTCCCCCCCCCCTGAGCATGCAAGTCTGTTGACACTTTTTTTGAGGCAAGCCTTGACACTGGAGTTTCCCAGCGACTTCAAGACATAATGATATCCAATATGGTTATGTTGTGTATATATTGATATTAAGTTAAAAAACAATGCAAAGTCAGCTAGCCTTCATTAAAAGTAGAACAGCTGAAAGGGGTGGGTTTTTCGTCGTTAATTAATGAGCTGCCTCCTCATCTTAGGTCAGTAACAATATATTAAAGCCATAAACTGTTTGATAAGCCATATGATACAGACAATAATTTATAATTGATTTTGTGAGAGCTGTGACGTTTAGCTTAGCAATAGTGCTGTTAATTGTGGGAATATTAACTCAGGTATCTGGTGCACAGGCATGCAAGCCCATGTTTTAACTCTTAATGTGGTTCTAAGATTTTACTTTATGTTTATATTTATTTAATAAAATGTCTTTTTAAAACAATTCCTCTGTCTTATTGTGACACACTAAAGGTGAATACAGTAACATGTGTATCTATTAACGTCGTCATACTCGCCACATTGATATGCAAATTAGGCGTTACACTAATAAAGTACTATATTATCTATTATCTTATCTTAATTCAAATGCGCTAATTTGCCTGCAGTTACAGAGGCAATGCAGGTGAAAAGGATAAAACAAAAAACAAACAAAAAAACATATCACCTCATAACTTCCCAAGATATTTACTTACAGTCAGTATTTTCCCCTGAAATGTTATGTTTAAATATGCAGATTAGCTTTAAATCTATAGATGAATTCAGCCATGGTAGTACAACGAATACCATTTATGTGTTTTTTGGAAGTTTTCTTTCCATTAGAGTGTGAGAAAACATGGAAGCAAAATAGACCAAAATGTACAAGTACATGAAAAAAAGATCTTTTTGCCTGTAATGTCCTGCCTTAAACAGTAACTTCATAATTTTGATTGTTGGCTGCTCATGTGCGTAGTGAATACTAAAGAAGACCATTGTCGCTGTGTTAACTGATTATTTTGTAGAATTCTATTGAGTTTTAAATAATTGCCTGAGTGTGAGGGTATTAAAATAAATTGGTCAGTAAGTCAGAGATGTGCAACTATATTTAACTTTTTGTTTTAAAACATTTTTTTATAAATGATTATGGGAAGTGCCCTTTTTCTCCTTTTAGCTCCCGCCCCCCCAAAATGTCTGTGCACGTCCCTGTGTGTGCGTGTGGGGAGTGTTGCGTTGCAGTAGAAAGTTCCATTGTAGCGCCCGGTACTTTAATGGGAAACCCTACATGTTTGAACACCCTCTATGAAACGTCAAGCTACCCCACAGCACCCCCAAAAGAAAATCTCTGGCGCCGCCACTGTGGGCTAAGCCCCGAATGTTTCCAGGTCCAGAAAAAGGCCCTGGCTATCCCCAACAAAATTGAGAATGCGGTTATGATCGTTTAATATCAAACACAACATCGTATTACCACTAAATCAGAAATACTATTATTAAAGGTTCAACAATGTGAACAAAGTAAGTGTGTTGTAAAAGTTTTATTGCAGCTAAGAAGGATTTCTCGATTTTTAGCTGCATCATTGGAGACAACTCCCTTCCTCCCCCTTTCTGTCTAGAAGGGAGAAACATTGACTTATCGAATGCATTGTTGGTATTGTAGTTCTTGGCTTGCACAGTCTGACACAATACCATGGACTGTTTTGATCCCAAGAACTACAAATACCACAATCCCTTGCGCAAATAAACCTGACGGCCACGGTTGCGGCGTTTTGACAGCGGCAGTCAGTCTCTGACCAGCTCAGTAGACACTTCTGTCAGCAACAAACCCTCAGCCTCGATTCTTTGTTCACTTTCACATCACTCCTGGCCGTTGTTGACCGCCTGAAAGTATGTCCGACGGAGGGGGGACGGAGGAAAACTCCGGCACCATGGAGGTGTCGGCCGTTCAGACGGTCGCAGATACATCGGTGCTGCAGAAACACATGAGGAAGCTGGTACCGCTGCTCCTGGAAGATGGCGGCGAGGCCCCGGCCTCCCTGGAAACCGCCCTGGAGGAGAAAAGCGCCGTGGAGCAGATGAGGAAATTTCTGGCAGACCCCCAAGTTCACACCATCCTCGTCGAAAGAAGTGCACTCAAGGGTACATTTAGCTAAATGTGAACCGCTAGCTAACATGAGTTTAATGACGACAGTAGTATTTTGGTGCTGTAAACCTAGCTGTTAAATTCCTCCTCCGAAACCTTTGCTATGTTAACTCTGTATGAGATATAGTATTATTTATTTGCTATATAACAACGTGAAGCTAGCTTGCTATCTCCATTACATCGTTCATGTGTAAGGCAACTGCGCCACACTGGGTGGGGAAGATAAAACTGAGCTATTAATAATGAAAAAAACGATGAAGGTGCTCAGTGTTCGCTTTAAATGTGACACTGACTAACTTGTTCGCAGTTAAATATTCTTTGCAATGCTACTGTAGAAATAAAATGATAAAACCAAATAATTGCAGTGACACAGCAGCAAATGGGATAGTGCCACAACAAATGACATCACTAAAGAAAAAAACCAAATAAACTATTTAACCTTAAAATGCAATTAGTAAACAATGTTGAATTCACATTTTAGCAATGATTGATATTGATAACGCACAGTTGCTAGTGGTTGACAGGTGACTGGGACACACTACTAATAATAACACAGTCCCCAATTTAAAAAGGACAAGCCTTACAATCTTAGACTTTCTAAGAGAATGAATCATTTGTAATAACAGCAAGTCATGTTGTTTGCTCATCTTGGGGATCTATCATGTGAACCAGGGTGAGTCAATGAACACAGTATGTTCAGTTCCCTCCAGGCACAATTAATCCTGAGCTTTAGAGCCACTTTCCTTCCTAATGTTTTATGAGGGCTGCTGAACCTTGATCCCTTGATAACACATATGACCAGCCTCTGGGTCTGAGCCTGTAGGTTTTGGATTCCCAGCCTGGGATTCACTGCCCCAGCCTTGCACCAAGAATACTGTTGCTGCAATGCAGAGAGTGTGATTTATTTTCCCTTATTCAATGACCTCACTTAAAGAAGGGTGGGGACATACTGTAAATGGCTGGACATCTGATTGCACTGTCATCCTGCAGCAACATGGCTAATTGTACACTGATGAACTTAACTGTTTAGCTTCTGAATAATTAGCAACAGAGTATTTTTGATAGCCTGGCCTTTGAGCAATCAAGTTTCAAGTTCCTTATTATCCTTGGCACTTAAATTACTTAAGTTACTTAATTGGCAATGAAAATCTTGGATCTCAGCATTGCTCCAACCATGCTCATTGCATATGTAGGCCTATAGAAAAGAAAGACAAATCATGCATTTAAAAGCAAAATGAGAATGTAAAGGGCTAGAATATAAAAATATAAAAATATAAAAGGTAGTTATTTTTGTTGTTTGTTCTTCACACAGAGGATGTTGGAGATGAAGGAGAGGAGGAGAAGGAGTGCATCACTTATAACATCAGCACTGACATCCACTATGGGATAAAGTCCAACAGGTAAATGATGCATCAAATGTCCCAAACAAAGGTCTTCTTTTTAAACCATGCATTTGTATGTAATTTCCTCAGGAATAACTTAACTATACCACCCTTTATTAATAAACCTGTACTCAAATTAATAAACTCAATACGTTTACTGTAAAACACTCCTTTTCCAAATGTTTTACTCTGAATCGCACTTTTCTCCCCCGCAGCTTGGCTTTCATCAAGAGGGCATTTGTCATTGATGCAGACAAGCCCATATCAACCCAGGTTCGAGTTCTGACCCTGAGTGAGGATTCTCCCTACGAGACGCTCCACTCTTTCATCAGCAATGCTGTTGCTCCTTTCTTCAAGTCCTACATCCGCGAGTCTGGCAAGGCAGACAGGTAATCCTCACAGCATGTTTTCTATTTTGAATAAAACATTGATCTGTTAAATTACATCACAAACTCTGAAAGGAGGAGTGGAGTTACATTAATGGGGAATTAATCTGTGCAATCATCTCTGTCATTCCCCTCCAGAGATGGGGATAAGATGGCTCCCTCAGTGGAGAAAAAGATTGCAGAGCTGGAGATGGGCCTTCTCCACCTGCAGCAGAACATTGAGATTCCTGAGATAAGCCTGCTTATCCATCCCATCATTACAAACATCGCTAAGCAGTTCTATGAGCGTGGGGAGAAGCCCAAGGTGACTGACTTTGGCGACAAGGTGGAGGACCCGACCTTTCTCAACCAGCTGCAATCTGGAGTCAACCGCTGGATCAGGGAGATCCAAAAGGTAAGAGGCTTTCTGATACATCCATCTGAATTTTCATAAAATAACAGGTACATGGACAAAGTTTATTTTCTTAAACTCATGACTGGGTTTCTTTGTCTCCTTCGCCCACTTATTTGTCAGGTGACAAAGCTCGACCGCGACCCAGCTTCAGGCACAGCTTTACAGGAGATCAGTTTCTGGCTGAATCTGGAGAGAGCCCTCAACAGGATCCAGGAGAAGAGAGAGAGCCCAGAGGTTCTGCTCACACTGGACATCCTCAAACACGGCAAACGTTTCCATGCTACCGTCAGCTTTGACACTGACACTGGTGAGTAACAACATGCCAAAACAAATGTTTCCATGTCTTCTTTTGCTGGCTGTGGCGGACTTTTTTTATAGAGTATAAATAATAGTTTGACCTGTCTTTACCTCTCACAGGTCTGAAACAAGCTGTTGAAACAGTGAATGACTACAATCCTCTGATGAAGGACTTCCCACTCAATGACCTGCTCTCAGCTTCTGAGCTTGATAAGATCCGCCAGGCTCTGATGGCCATATTCACTCACTTGAAAAAGATCAGGAACACCAAGTACCCCATCCAGAGAGCACTGCGTCTAGTAGAGGCCATCTCCAGGGACTTGAGCTCCCAGCTCCTCAAGGTGTTGGGCACCAGGAAGCTCATGCATGTTGCCTATGAGGAATTTGAAAAGGTTGGTGAACTAAAACCTATCTATTTTACCCCTAGAGTACACTCTTAATTTAGCTACTCAAAAATTAGGCCTCTTTCTAAATGATCTTTAAACTTCTGTGTGCAGGTGATGGTGGCCTGTTTCGAGGTCTTCCAGACCTGGGAGGATGAGTATGAGAAACTGCAGGTGCTTCTGAGGGACATCGTGAAGAGAAAGAGAGAGGAGAACCTGAAGATGGTGTGGCGTTTGAGCCCAGCTCACAGGAAGCTCCAGTCACGTCTGGATCACATGAGACGCTTCAGGAGGCAGCACGAGCAGCTGAGGGCTGTCATCGTCCGTGTGCTGAGGCCTCAGGTAGAGTACCATCAGATCCTTAAATGGCCAAGTTGAACTGACCAGCATTTCTTGACATTATTTATTTAATTTGGTCATCTGTAATGGTTTCTTCTTGCACATACGAAGGATACAAACAAATAAATCATAAATTGACTTTCAAAAA